CCGCTGCGCTGTTTCCCAGCCCATGATGATGATGATGCAAATGTGTTGTTGTTGTTTTTCTCGTTGGTTTACTTGTTGCATTGTGCACATTGACAGCTGGTGAATGTTGCATCTATGCTGCTGGTTGTTGCCACTTTCATCATTGCTAGATCCTAGGCTGTTAGTGCATTTCACTTTCTGATATGCAACACTCTCTCTCTCTCTCTCTCTCTCTCCTCCCTACCTCGCTGTCGATTATGGCCCGCAGCAATGGCTGCTTCTTCGCTCATACTATAGCATCTGGTTGGCACCCACGAGACAGCATGGCGCCAGCCTCCTCCTCTCAAGTCTCACGTGCAGCGTTGAAGCCGCAAGCAACTCGCAAGACTGAATGTCAACGCAGTGGCGAGGTCAACTCTTTATAGTGTTGACTCGCGTTGTCCAGGGTCAGCTTCTGTCTGTGTGAGGCCCCGGATCCTCTGGATGTTGACAGCTCAGATGCAATTTGTCCCAGTTTCGGTCTGGACTCCTTGAGGCCTGAATCTTCTGGAACCTGCAGACCACCGTTAGATCATTCCCGGTCGTCGGCCAGGAAATCTCATGTGTTGACTTTGACTTCTCGGATGTGGGTCTGTGTCCACGAGTTGACTGTTGGAATTACGGTCAACCGCTGGTCTGGCCTTTTCCTAGGGCCTGTTTGACCTCGATTTCGAGGCCTGCCCATTCGCGCTCGTTTTTGGGGTGCTGAGGGTGCGATCGGAGCCCAGCGGCTCAGTTATGCATACGAGTTATAGCAGTCTACAACTTCCTGTAGAATTGAAGTAAATAACACACAGTGACTGAATATGTTACATGCCATGAAACAATCGCCACAAAGACCTGAGGCTGTCCAGTATATGCTACACATAGCAGATATGAAGACACCTTTGATTTATGCACATGCACAATGGACAGTCATGCATGTCCAGGTTACTGCCATCCCCCGAAGACAATGCACCATCAACATGCCCGTATCGGACTAGATAGATAGCTTGTAGCGTAGACATCCGTGATCAGGGTGTGTTATGCTTGGGCGAAAAACGTAGCCAATGCACAACCAAGAAGGAATTGCCAGAGCAGCTGATCACCAGGCTGTGACTTCTGCCATCCAAATGGCTAGACAATTTGGATGCCGTGACTTGCGCCATCCAAATGGCTACGCAATGGACGCCGTGACTTACGCCATCCAAATGTTTTACTGCCAACATTGCGCACACTGGCAACCTTGAACTGGGAACATTGTGCAGGCAATGTTGTACTTGCAACACTGACACGGGTGGGCAATTTCGTACTGGCAACATAGCGCACATCCACACTGTGAGGGCAACATTGTGCAGGCAACATAATCCTGTCATTACTTGCAACACTGACACGGGTGGGCAATTTCGTACTGGCAACATAGCACACATCCACTGTGAGGGCAACATTGTGCAGGCAACATAATCCTGTCATTTGCAGGAAAAACTGGGGTGGCATATCCACAGCCTTTGATATTTCGATCTTCAGACAACAAAAGTTTCACAGAGAGAGAAATAGCAGTAACAATTATCACATACCTGCGCTCCCTCCACAGTCTCCGATCTTCCTCCACTTTCTCTGCCATTTTTTGTCGTTGTTCAAAGACAAACTGAGCAGCTCTACAAGGGTCCTGTCCAGACACCCGCAATGATCTCCTCGCCTCACGGCTTGTGATACCCATAGATAGCAATGTCACCAGAGCTTCATTGGAAACTTGAAGCTAAGAAAAGCAACACGAACGACCATATGTTCCAACTCATGTCAAAACCAAATTCAAATTGTGTAAACTCTCTCTCTCTCTCTCTCTCTCTCTCTCTCTCTCTCTCTCTCTCTCTCTCTCTCTCTCTCTCTCTCTCTCTTTCTTCCTATGACTCATTCAATCCCTTCACTGTCAATCTACTCACAAGGCAGACTTTGTACAGCTGCCTTCTTTGCCCAAATGGAACGTGCAGTCATTATGGGTGTATCTAGACCGGAAGCCCCCCGATACAGCTATAACGATGGTGTGTTATATTCAAGGGAAGACCGTAGCATAGTTTCTAGAGGGGGGCCTGTGATGTCTAGCTGCAGGTGTGGCATGGAGGCTCCCTGGACAATGTACGGTGTTTAGGTTTTTGTCAGTAAATCTGACAGCCACAATCACATGTTAAAACTCAGTTTTGGATAATGGTCACTGGATTCCAAAACCTAGATGTAGACATAGCTAAGTGCGGCTGGCTGCTTCATGTATCCATAGCCTGTAGCTATTCTGGAACTCATGGTGGTGGCTGAGCACGAACCAGTCGCCAGAATAGGATGGGGTCATACCCACAAGGTCATGTTTGTATTTTGTGTGCTACCACATGCTCATCTCCAGCACCTTTTCTTATCTACCCATGTAGACCTGTATTCATCGGGGATTCGATCACGACCCGTTTTGTTACGAACAATAAGTACCGTATTAGAATATTATATTATTATTATTACTACACATATCGCAGAAAATGTTTTGGTCATTACTACTGTACTGACCTACGAAAACACAGACGGAGAACATTGCTGATTTCTGAGTTTCGTCGCTAGAATGTGTGTTGTGCTGAGATTTTTGCGTGCTTGACGATTTCCGAGTGCCTGTCTGAGTGCATGCCTGCCTGAGTGTGTGTGTGACCCACCAGGGTACTTGTTTGTTTGGAGGGCCCTCGGGGCCGGTACTTACCTGTGGCCGAGACTTTGAGGGTTGCAACGGTGAACACTCAAGTAACGTAGGCGAGCACTACCGTGTAGCTTCGGGTGGTATTTGAGTAGTGGTAGGCCTAGCAGAAGAAGACAAAAAGTTAGTACCTTTGGAGGACGAGTGAATTTTAGAGTCCGGTAGGCCTAGGTCTAGGTACCAGTCCTGAAGTCAAGGGCCTGTAGCGGACGATATCAGGTCTTCCATTAACCATCTCTCCTCAGAAAGGGAGGATGTACCGGTTGCTTGGGAGGCCGCACAGCCTGGAAGTCACCGCCCAGGAGGCTGGTTGCCCACTATATCTTGAGGGAAGAGCTCATTGCTCTTCCTCATTTGCAGTGTGCAAGATTGGGCATCATGCTGTTGGAGCGCTTGGTGGAAGAGCACTGTGTGCAGCGCTGGGAGGAGCGCCTGGGCTTCCACCTTGGCTATGGTGGACAGTGCCAGGAAGGAGGAGGAAGAAGAAAAGGACGCGGAGGAGAGTGGTAGGGGTACTTACTGGCTATGGTGGGTTCCATGAACTTCCATCTTAATCTCCTTGTTTGGGGCTGCAATATGGAAAGCCCCAATAGAGGTATTGCTGCATCAAGAAGCTTCAGGGCAGGCATGGTGGACTGAGGTGTAGAGGACATTGTTGAACATTGGCCCAGGGGCAGGGCCCCTAGTAGTCCGCCATAGCCATCACCTGTCCAAGGTGGCTGGAGGCAGAGGTCATGGCTATGGTGGACCTCATGTTGTGATGGAAATAAGAGGGAGATTCGAACATTCGGTTCTGGTTCAGCCATTCATTAGTCATTCATTGTTATTGTCATTATTTATCATTGAATAAGACTGGGGGAGAAAAGAGGAGCAGAGTGAGTGGTGAGAGAAGGGGGAGTTGTCATTGGTCTTTTGCTGGTGTACATCATCTTCTTGCTTTCTTATTTCTTCTCCTTCGCTTGTCTCTTTATCCTTTCAAGTTCTTTCATTTCTTTTGCAATTGGATGGCAGTCTTTCCTTGTGTATTTGCACTTTGGAATTGGCCAGGATCGTAACACTGGTATCAGAGCGGATCTTACTTGCTGGCAAGAGTTGTTTGGCTGCGCCAACGTAAACTAAGTAGTTGAGGGCTACTACTCAGGGCTAGGGTTGGTAAGTTGAGGGAAGCGGGGCAGTGTGGTATGGTGATGAGGAAAGTGGTGATACCTGCATCGAAGGACTGCAAATTGCTACTTCGGTCTTCAACATCAGCGGGGGAATCCGGTATTGTACTTTGGTGTAGGGTAGACCCTCCTAGTTGATAGGACACTAGAGTAGAGATGCTACTTGGGTCTCGAGGACCATATAAGAGAGGGGGGTGAGTTATACTCCTCCTAGTTGATAGGACACTAGAGTAGAGATGCTACTTGGGTTTCGAGGACCATATAAGAGAGGGGGGTGAGTTATACTTCCTGTCAAGGATCAGGCCAATCAGGTAAGTGCTGTACACCTAAGTGTTGCCCATGGTTGTGTGCATGGTACTGCATGCCCTGTTGGGGTAATTCTGGGTACCTTTTCCTACCCTCTATGGTCTTCATTGTGCACACGAGTTTGTAGACTGCTTTCTCACCTGATGGATGGATGGATGAGGTATGTTGGTTCCAACGGCATATCTTTCTATAGTGCTTCGTCTTTTCATTTCTGAACGGTAGTTGAGTAGGTTCCTTCTGAAGTTGAATTTCGTTTTTCAGTACGGCAGGGGCAGAAAAAGAGGGTCAACAAAAAAAAGGGGCAGAAAGAGGGTCAAAGTGGGACTCTTGTTGGTTGGGACCTGGTCACGCCAAACATGGGACCTGTAGGTACCAGTGGATCGGGCTGAACTAGGAAGAGCCCTTTGTTCTGAATCCATCGGTAGTGTACTCTGTCTCGCTGGAATTCAGAGTTCATGTTTTTGGTTGGGGCACTTGCTGCCGAGGGGACCTCGGCTAAGATGTTTTGCAGACTCTAACACTGTCCGCTGCGTAGACACCACTGCATTCTCCATTGTTTCATGTCGTTACTCCTCGCATCTGATTTGCTGTACTTCCAGTTGGAGCTCGTGCACAAAAAAAAAAAAAAAAAGAGAGAGAGAGAGAGAGAGAGAGAGAGAGAGAGAGAGAGAGAGAGAGATTGTTGAGTGTTGCTCGTGAGGGAGTGAGGAAAGGAAAGAAGAGGGTTCATCAAGTGTGAGCCCCACTTTAGAGATCAATTAATCCGCCGATCCTCTAACATGGCATCACCACCAATGACTTTGGCGCAGTGGCAGGCCCCACTGAACGCAGCTGCTGAAAAGGAAAAACCGCATTTGCAAGCACTCTATGAAAGTGCTTTGCAAGGGGAGCAGAAGGTGGACAAAAAGAGGAAGAGGACTCTACTCACTGAGCAATTGTCCATCTTGGAAATTGTTCCCGCACTTAGCAAAGAGCAGTGTGAGGAACAAATACAGTCCATCTTTGACGCTTTAGTGCACGTGCGGAAACTTGAAGATCACACCAGCCAAATCGCCCAGATTTTTGTAGAAATGCAGAAACTGCGGGATGAATTGACCGAGATGACCAACAAGTACCGTGACTGGCAGTGGAAGTTGCAGACCTGCAACAGGCCCAAGTGCCTGATCCCCCTTTCCTACCCCGGTCCCCGAAGCTGCTACTGAAACTGTTCCTACCCAGGCCCAAGTGCCTATGCCCTCTTCTTAAACCACCAGTTCATCGGACCCTAAATTGTCGAAGCAGTATTTTCCCTTTTCCGAGCCTGTGTGCTACAGTAACGTCAGCAGACGAAAAATCGACCGGTGCCGGTTCCCCCTCTGTCTTCTGAACCTTGGGTCCAAAGAACAGGCCGAGTACGTTTCTTTTTTTTTTTTTTTTTTTTTGCTCTTCCAGTTTTGGAAGATTCCTTGTTTTCACTTTGTCAGGTATCGGGGTGCCGTTATGATTCAGTAGCTACATCTGTGAGGAAGAGCAACCGCGGCCGCTGCTGATCTGTCACTGTTTGCATACACGCACACAGTCTCTTTGCGCCTCCACCGTGTCCTAGCCGCTGCCATGGCCATGGTGGCCGTGCGCGTGATGGCCGGGATTTACTATTATCAACCATCTGTCACGGCGCCCTGACTCGCACACGTCAAGCAGCACGCACACACACACACACAAAAGTTGATGATTGTGCCCACGGAACAGACTCACACAGTCATGCTTTTCTTTGTGGATTGATGTTTACCAGATGCGACTACACACACACACACACACACACACACAAACACACACTCTGGCTCTCTCACTCATCCGCGCTGTGGCAGTAGCACATTTGACGCAAACTTCGGTGGTGTTGCGACAGAACACACCGCACACGGACGGGAGAAAGGAGCGCTCTGCAAGAGCTATAAAACCAGCACCACCATGCACCGTGCCATCGTGCGCGATTTGAAGCTGGAGAAGGTTTCCTTCGTGCACTCACGGCGGCACAGTGCATGTGAGTGTGCTGGTTCCTATGGCCTCAATCCTACGTGTGTGAACCCCTGGTGGGTGATATATATATATATATACAGCCCCTCGTTTGTTGTCCTCTTCTCTCTCTCTGCCTAGGGTTTACCGGGCAGTTCTGTTTGTGACGATATATATTGTCACATCACTACAAACTAAAAGAGCGCACTTTGTGGAACAAAGAATAAAAGCAAAAAACGGGCACAGTGATAACATGCAAAAATAAAAATAAAAATAAAAACAAAAAGAAAAAACAAGGGCAGATTGAAACCATTAAATTTCTCATTCTTCTTTGAACTCCACCTCCACTGTGCCTCTCACGTGCAAGGCTCGCCACGTTGATGAAGTTGAGCGCGAGCTGCCCCCATCCCCGTATGCCATAAC